TTTTTTTTTTTTTTTTTCCCGAAACGATAGAAATTATTATAAATCAAAAGCGCACAATTGTGCGAATACAAGCAACCATCGGTTGAAAAGTGGGAGGCCAGGTCCAGAGACCTCCTAGAAGCCCGGCTAGCAACCACTAGAAAGAAAAACTCGCAACTAAACTAAACAACTAAACAAGACCCCCACAGGGTAATAAAACAACGATTCAAACAACTAAAACGACTAAACAAGACCCCCACAGGGTAATACCGGAGTGTCAGACCCCCACAGAGTAATTAATTTGACATCCGGGAGCACATAGGCTAACGGCCCAAACCTAAAACACAATCACAGACACTAAACAACCACGAACAAAACAAACACATAAACTGGAAAACAACCTAAATAAAAAAAACAGAGCCCTCCCCCAGCGAACAGACAAACCCAATCAGCAGTGGACGATCGACACAAGAAATATCACAGCCCGAGAATCCGCTACCAAAACTGCCTACTGCCTATACAGTAGAAGACACCAAGCCCTGAATCAATCCCCGAATCGACCCATCTCGAACCGAGAGAGCCCCTTTCAGCCCCAACAAGCCCCACCAAATTCGTCTAACACCACTAGCCGAACTCAATAGGACCCGTATCCCCACCGCCAAACACCACTCGCCGGCAAGAAAGAGGCTAAATCGGGCCCTCAATCCCGACCACCGCAACACGAAGGCTGCAGCAACCCGACACCACATCCTTTCCAGTGACGGCTGCTCCGCCCAACACCGCCGAGACGAACCCACGACCCCAAACCGAATCCCACCCAGAGAGCGGAACCCTGCTGGCACAGCAACCCAAGAACCACAGACGAGAGAAGAAGATAGGGCATACCTCCGCCACAGCGATAAGACGCCACCACCCACCGGAACTCGACGCAATCTCGAGCACGCCTTCAATCGCGGACCCATTCTTGCGACATCAGAGGCGCACACCGCCAAGAGGAAGGACGGGTGGTCTTCGACGACCCCTGACCGAGCTTAATTCGCCGCTGGGGAAGGCAAGGAGCTTAAATCGCCGCCGCAAGAAGGGAAGAAATTGGTTTGGGGAGAAGGGTTTCGATTTGGGGAGAAAATAAATTTGGTTGGTTGGATACTGACATTTACTACTATTTTTGGTAAATGTTATTCTTATTATATATATATATATATATATATATATATATATAGATTTTATTATTTTTATTTTTATCCTCTTTTTTTCTCAAATTTCACCTAAAATTAAAAATGTAGAGGATTTATTCTGGGTCAAAAGGTGGAGCACGAACCGAAGAATCGAGTAGTGGGGGAGAAGAGGTTCTATTTAGGGGTGTTCACGGTCCGGATTAGTCAGGTTTTTGCCCAAACCATGACCAAACCGGACCTAACGGTTAATATTTTTCTTGTCCATCACCGGACCCGGTTTTATTTTTTAACTGGCTACAATCCAAACCGCATTGGGCGGTTCAGTTTGGCAGTTAACCGGTTAAATCCATAATTCTTGTTTTGGGCTTTCAACTTTTATTTTTTTCATTTTGAACTTAATTTTTATTTTTCATTTTTGGGCTAAAAGAGATTATTTGAGCCTAAAAATTAAGAAAAACAATAATAATAAAATAAAAAATACACAAAAGGCAAAAAAGTGAAATTTCTAGTGTCTTACAAAATTAAGAAAAACAACAATAATGAAAAGTTATAATGTCTTACAAAATTAAGTCAACAAAAAGCCAAAAAATGAAAGTGAATGTATTGTATTTGTCGGCCATAATGAATGACTGAATGTATATATATACTAGTACAACACCCGTGTATTACACGGGTACTTGCTAATTTTTTCTTAAAATCTAAAATTAATGAGAAAAAGTAGTTTGAAAATTTAAATATCTTTTATAAGAATATATATTATTATATATTTATTATGACACTTTTTATTTGTGCGACTTACTTGTGTTATATTATACTAATTTTTTTAACCTATAATATATAATTACATTAAATATAAATATATCAATTGAGAAATAATTTTATTTTTCTAATGAATTTTAATAAATATTATTATTTTTTATTATTATAAAGAAAATATAATTTATTTATTTCATATATACAATATGAATGTCAAATCGAAGATCATCAAAAGATGAATAATTTGATATATTATATATGTAAAACCGATAATAAATACAAAATTTTCAACTTTTAAAATACAATTATAATTTAATAGCTTATTGAAGGAAGCAAATCAAAATTCAGGGATATATTAGTCACTTAGTGCCCCACTATGTAAAATTACAAAGAATTAAAGGGTTATATTAGTAAAAGTGATATTAAAATACCTAAGTTAGCTAAATAATATTTATGGAATACCCGAACCTAGATAATTAATTATTAACATATCAATATTATTTATCCAAACCTAATTACGAAGCATGATTCTTCGCCAAATAGGATTCCGAAGCACCAGAAGCAGCCACGTAGGCTCAGCGCATTCGGGAATTATATAGAGGGAGGATTTGTTATAGTATTTTAATATTTATCGGTCCGGTCTGGTTCAACTGTCGGTTTGCCGCAGATAATCCGTTAACCGGACCGGTTATTCCGGATTTTTAAAAAAATTAACCACCGGATTTTTTAAGTTTTTTTTAACCGATCATTTAACCGATCCGCGCGCCGAATTGACGGTTTTTTTTCGGTTAAAACCAGACCGTGAACACCCCTAGTTCTATTGATGCAGAAGAGGTTCAATAGGCTGCTACTGATAGGTTAAAAAGTTGAGTCAATTATTTATATTTATTATTTTCATATTAGTTAGTGTCGCTCAACCAAATTTATGGGTGCATCTTAGCGTGTCAACATTATTCATTAAAGCTATCTGGCGTGAACGACTGGGATTGAAATGAAAATTACATGCGGACACAAATTCATTATAAACTCTCGTCATTAAATGCAAATTAAAACTCACCGAAAGAAGGGTAAAATCGTCATTCATGCGCCAGCCCCACCCCGCAATCCTCATTTAAAACGGTTCCCTCCCCCCACGAAAAAAATCACACTCCCAAACAACACACACACACACACACACACATTCAATAACGTACATGCGCACACAGCTGCTCAGCAGCTAAAGCATCCCAGTAAATGGCGAAATCCACAACCAGCGCCGCCGCGCGTTTCCCCTCGATTGAGAAATGCGACGCCTCCGGCGTGCGCCGCCGCTCGATCGCGGCGGATCTGGACGGGACGCTCCTCATCTCCCGCTCCTCCTTCCCTTACTTCATGCTTGTTGCCATCGAGGCCGGCAGCCTCCTCCGCGGCCTCGTCCTCCTCCTCGCCTTCCCCCTGATCGCCGTCGCCTACGTCTTCGTCTCCGAGGCGCTCGCCATCCAGATGCTGATCTACATTTCCTTCTCGGGACTCAAGGTGCGGGACATCGAGCTCGCTTCCCGCGCCGTGCTGCCGCGGTTCTACGCGAGGGACGTCAGGGCCGAGAGCTACGCCGTGTTCGAGGCGTGCGAGCGGAAGGTGATCATCACGGCGAACCCGACGATAATGGTGGAGCCCTTTGTGAAGGAGTTCCTGGGCGGGGACAAGGTGATCGGGACTGAAATCGAGGTGGATCCAAAGACTAGAAAGGCGACGGGGTTCGTGAAGAAGCCGGGGGTTCTGGTTGGGAAGTGGAAGAAATTGGGGGTGCTCGAGGAGTTTGGGGAGGAGACTCCGGATATCGGGATTGGGGATCGGGAGTCGGATCACGATTTCATGTCCATCTGCAAGGTTAGCTTTCCTTTTCATCTTCCTCTTTTATTTTTAATTTAAAAAAAAAAAATCAGCTAAAAATTTGAGTTATCAACATTTATGGATGTCACTTAGATTCTATCTGGTATATTTATTTCGTGTGATTTTGATACTTGTTCTTGATATGCCCTTTTGAGGTGAATATGAGCATTTGTGAGGTTTTTCTTTGGTTTGTTTGGCGTGAACGTGAACGGCACCAGTGTGTGTCA